TTTCTCTGGCCTGCTGTCGGTGGTTGAAACTGCATGGGGCCATTACAACATTCTTGAGACGGTTTAATCGTTATTCGCCAAGCCCACCATGAGTCCCTCCCTAGCCCTGCACCAGAGCCCAGTCAGGTCCTGTTAGTATCAAATCCTTGCCTTTTCACCGCCTTTTATTCTCATCTTGCAGCAACATCAGCATTTCAGACTGAGAATCATATTTTGCAAAAGAAACTCGGATTTCTGAAAAGTTTAAAGGGACATATCATAAAGAAATCACTTTTCCAGTGCTTGTGTGTTCGCATATTCTGAGGGCCTTGAAAAACCCTGATACTGTGAAATGAGACAACTATTACTATTATTATAAGAGCCAGGTGATTGAAGGCCATATAAAGCTTTCACAATTCACCAGAAAACCATTAGCAAAATAGAATCTGTTTTAAAGTTGACATGGCAAACACCACCATCTTCCCATTGTTTTTTCTAATTGTAGTATAACCTTGTTTCCTCCATTGAACGTGGCATTTGTCTAATGTTATGTGAAGTACCCTTTAAGTGTTTCATTCATATCTAATTAGCTTTTCATTACGAGAAGTCAACTGTGACTTTTCCATGCAATATTACAAGAAACACAAGGTTTAAAAATGGTAATGATTATTCGTTGTGGTTGGGCAGCAATAAGAGGCTCTTGCTTTTGTGCTGGAGAACATTGTATTATGAGAACATCAATGCAAAGAGTGGGTGTTGATCTTTGCAAATGTCATTCTCAGTTCCACAAGGCTCAAATTGGACTTGTTATTCACCCAACCCCAAGCCGCCTGTTTGTTTCCCGCTGCCCTGTAATATTAAACAGTACAACCTTATTTAATTTCCATACACGGCTCGTCCTTGGCAAAAGTGGCACGGAGCAGAGAAATTGTAATTTCACAACGTATCATAGAGCATTATGTGTTATGATTGCCACATGTTGACATGCTTATAAAACTCAGGAAAATGGTATTGCATCTCTTCATATCTGCTTGACATGCATTAATTAAGGGGGAACATCAGCAGCAGTTTGCCTACTTATGCGATAATGAGGTGCAATGCCAAGTATGAATAACAGGAGATGGACCATACGCGGGCTAAATTCATATTGAACATAGCACAGACAATGGCTGTCTTAAAATGCGTGACTGGAGAGGTTTGGGCTGTGATAAACAAAACAAAGTGAAGGCTGAACAGAGAGACAATTAAACCGCCACATCTGGCAACCCCGATGTGAGTGGGTACCCCGCCACTGCAATTACAGCTCCATCACTTATGTAACCCTTTGCCGCCTGGATGTTTTGCAGATAATGAAGCTCATGCTCGCTCTCATTCAGAGATTGTAAAAAATATTTTCAAGAATCGCTGCCCACATGCCCCGACAAATCTGGGAACCTCCTTTCACCATCGACAATCAAATTATCAACTGATTCAATTCCTGGGCTTCTTCTTCTTCAGTCCAGATCAGTTGCTTGCTATCCCGCTGATCACAAGCTGCTGGGCAATCTCATGTCCTCTTATCTTCAGCCCAGACGGTTGCATTAAAGGAAGGCCTAATTACGGTTCAGAGGGAATATCATTGCTCCTAAAAGACAGGAGAAAAGATCATCAATGCCAGAAGTTGCTGGAATGTCATTCTGACATTTTGTCAAGAGGTTTTGGTTGTGCTTTTAAAAGCACAGGCTGTTGATGATTTCCACAAAGAAAGGTTTATATTGATTCAAGAAGTACTTAACCTTGATGGGCCCATTTACTGGGGTTCAGTCCCCAGGTAGAGGATCTAGGTCCGAATCCAACCTGGGACCATTTCTGGTCTCGACCTTTCAACAATGTCACTCCGTTAATAAAGGCTTATCCGACCCAACAAAAGTTCTGTCTTAATATATTCAGAGATAACACAGAAGGGTAAATGATCAAATGAAAGCCTGACATAAATAGCCTCAGTAGTGTCTCCAGGACACCATCAAAGCTCCGTTACATAGATCCCGAAGGTCTACAAAATATTTAGATCATGGTTCCATGTACAGTTGGGTAAAGATCTGGTGACCTTGAAGGCCACAGCAGGAAGAATAGCAATGTATAAAATGGTGAGAACGTTTTTGTCATCTGCATGTACACATTTTAAATGTTAAAAGTGTGTTTTGTGTGTTTCGTAAACAACCTTCCCGGCGGCCATTGGCCTCCATTAATATCAAGATCATGCTTGCAGTAACCAGTAATTGAAAAGCTGCGCTGTCCTTGTGCAGCATTATTTGTCTTTAAAACCGCCAGCTCGCAAGTTGCTTCCCATTTTACCTAAACACATTAAAGGGGAAGCTATTTGTGTCCTCATTGCTGTTAAGATTGCAAATACCCTTTCCAAAAACAGCTCAGTCACTTCCCTGAAGTATTACTGATGCTAGCTGCAGGGATTCATTCATTGATGGTTGTTACAAGCAAAGCAAATGGTTGTGCTACTCCTGAGCTTTTTGGATGTGAATGAGAAGCACTGGTAGATGAACTCAACATGGTTTGAGCATGTATATGTAGTGATGTGTAATCGATGTCAACTTCAGCGCACAAAGACGATGCTCTTTTGACTTTCAGTCCTCCACGAAGAATGCTCTGCTCTCCCGTGTGTGTGATTCCTCTGTCATCCACGCTGACGTGCACTTATGTCCTCTTTCTCCCGCACTAGCCTATATATGTCACATGCACACAGACGCAGAAATGCATACTCTGTGTCTCTTACCCTGTTTCATGGTTTCATGGCATCCAGTGTGTCCGCTTAGCCACGGAAATCTTGCTGACGTCTCCGTCCCGCTGCCACAGCTCTACAGACGAAGGGGAGATAATTGAGATGAGACAATCGCATTAAGACTCACTTTAACCCCCTGACCAAGACCAGAGGTTGGGATTTGGAATCTGTGCATTTTTAAATCTCTGCACGGTTGTTTGTGCATTTCCCCAAACTGAGCATTCAAGCTCTTTCGTGCAAGGCTTAGCTGCTCACAGTAAAACCGGCACAAATTAGCACGCCGTCGTTAGGGAAACAACATGCAGCCATATGCATGAGAGCCCCTTGGAATAAGTGTTGGAGAGTGACGCCGCGGCTGTTGTCTGCACAGCAGTGGAGCTGTCAGTGCTACAACACAACATGCTGTTCCCATCCATGGGTGAAGCCTCTTGACATCAAAGGTGGCACACAAAAGGATCTGTGTTTTCTTTGACTGTTGCCTACACCTGTCAAAATGGTGTGTGTGTGTGTGTTTTTTGTGTTTGTCTCATGTGCTCCTACTGCACGTTGGCCCTCCTGCTTTGTAGCACCATAGAGCCCCCTTGTGGAAGTGGGAAGAATAGCAATGTGTGTGAATGTGTATGTGTGGTCCAGGACAGATTCCAGCATCCCTAAAATCTCTGTTTCTCTCTCTTATGCACAGACAAAATGCAGAAACTGTCCTCCAACTCTTTTGAATCACAAAACTAGATCTTCTCTGTCTGAGCGCGCAACACTGCACGAGAGGGTCAAATTAGAGCAGGCCTTGGTAAAATAAAATCCCTATTATCTATGAACTAGCAAGTACCCAATTATACGGCACAGTTATCTACCATCTCACAGACTTCTGAGTCCTCGCCATAGGGCCAATGAGCAGGGAGTGCTAATGAAGAGATGCTGAATCACCTTGTTGCCTTTCCTGGACTCACAACTGCTGGAGCCTTCCTTGATCATCGGCGGCTTGTTTATGGATCAGAGTCATTCCCCCCCCCCCCCCGGTGAGGTTGTCACAGCACAGGCCACACACTCTCGGATGTGCCGTGGGCCCGGCGTGTGTGTGATAAGTGTGAAAGAATAATGAGAGGTCTCTAATCCCAGGCAGAGAGAGAAAACGGGTTTAAAAGGAGTTTATCTGTCTCTCCTCAGATAGGGCATGTGTTCAAAATGAGCCGAGCGGAGAGGAGGACTCCCGCTGGTGTGAAGGCGGGGGGGTTTATCTGTTGATATGTGTTTCCTGTGCACTTTCTTACCTCTCTGTTCTCATGGTCTTCATCATCCCAGGAAGCCTGTCACCACACTGCCTGCCAGCACACACAGAATGACCTCAAATGACTGGATAGCTGACTTCTCTCCTTCTCCTCCATTTTTCACCGCTTTTCTAGTCTTGTATTCTCTGAACTGGTATTTGTTTCAGTGTTTGCCTATACTTCAACTATTACTTAACACAAATACATTTTAAACTCTCCCAAATATCATATTTTAGGACATTTAAGCAGTATTTATTACTTAGAGATGTCCCGCCCCTTAGCCTATCACGTACAATGGGTTGCAGTTCGAGCTCCGTCTTAGTGTGTATAGATACTGGCTAATACAGTTTGACACAAGCTTTATGCATTCATTAATAGTGCAAATCACAATCCCTAAAGATGCACCATACTTTAGCTACATTCCCTAAAGTACTTCCTGCAGAATGCAGTGATTATATTGTAAATGTAGGGTCTAATATGGAAAGGGTGTGCCAAAGCGTACAAAAGCTTTTATGACTGTGCATCAGTGCTGTGAATTTGCCACGTAAGAGGCTAAAAGAGTGTGTTTTAAAAGTTTAAGAGGCCATTAGGGAATTTAGAAAGGTTCTGGGATGGTTTAAGAGAGAAAGAGGCGGTTTGATGGAATCTAGAGGCTGCTGTTGAGTTTTTGAAATGGGTAAATTGGAGTCTGGAAAGAGAATAAAAACAGGAAGCTCATGATTGTTTGGTGCTGGTACATGTCAATGCAATATCACATAGGACCAGACCTGTGTGTTGCAAAACTGATGGTAGCAGCGTCTGTTTTATGGGTTCCCCTGCTGCTTTTTTATGTTGTGAAAGAAATGTTGTGCACTCTGTATCAACATACTCTACATATTACAAATGATATACTGTTGACAGTGTCAAAAAATAGCAACAATCTTCCTGATTTACATGTTCCTACAGGTGTTACCTCATCCCCTGTCTCTTGTCTCCAACAGGAAGTCCTCTTAACCTGACGTGCAGAGCGTTCTTCGGATACAGCGGAGACGTCACTCCACTTATCTACTGGATGAAGGGGGAGAAGTTCATCGAGGATCTGGATGAGGAGCGCGTTCAAGAGACCGAAATGAAGTAGGAGTTTTAGTGTTAATCCTAAGTGTTTAAGAGAATATATCATGTTCGAGTGTTACATAGTGATGTCACTATGTTCCGGAAGTAAACAAAGGAGTCCAATAGAGGAGTTTCAGGCGGAGGGGAGTGTGTGGGAGTGAAACTCAAGCTCAGGCATCATATTATAACCAATTCATGAGGTGCATTTAGTCTCATCAGAAGCAGCAAAGGGCCTTGGAGCACAACTGGTAAACACCTATTTAAACCCAGTTACCACACCAGTGTGACCACACATCAACACAAAAGGAACTTTTTATCACGACCGCGCTATCATTTAAATGAAATCCATGCATGATTTATGCGGCTGTTTAATAATGCAGATAGCTATGCATTCTTTATCATGAACAATCTATATGCACGGTTCAGGCATTGTTCTATCCGTGCAAGTAATCAGAGATTAGTTTGCACTGAAATATAAAGTGGAGGCATTAATAGCAGAGCAGCACAGAAAATGGGAATAAACGTATGTGTTGGCCTCCTTTTCCATTTGGGTGACCTCCATCTCTTTGGCTCATCTGTGGAAACAGTACTCCAACATCTGGTGTTTTTAAGAGGTCTCCATGCATTGTAAGTTATGATACATGTATGTTATGGGAAAAACTAGTTTATTTCTGGTAAAAAGTTGGTTTCAGGTGGTATAGGACATTGGATCTCCAGTTTATTGAACTCTCAAACAAGTAGGGTATCATTTCCAAACGGCACACTACAAATAACTTCCCATTCAACTTTATGTCAGGAAACAGAAACTTGCAGTTTTCATTGTGGTTGAAACATCCGTGTGGAAAAAGAAGTCTAGAAAACTTTATGTAGAGCAGCCAAGTTGATGTTCTCTGATAGTGGCGGAGATATGTTTTGGTTCAGATACATTTAGGTCATATTGGAAAAAGTGAAATGAGAAAAGGAAAAACTAGCTATTTTAATGTAGCCCTTTTATGCTAATTGTCAGGTTTCCCATTTGTATTTAGTGCCTCTTCTGTGACATGTTTTCTACAACATAGAACAATTTGTTCTTATAAGCATTTCACTTAATCTTGTATCTCAAAACATTCTTGTTATTACTCCAAATCATCAACCTTGTCCTGTTAGAATCACATTTTAGTTGTAGTGCACACACACATCCACACACCCTTTCATGTCCTTCCCCACTGTTCTCCTCTGACGGTGTGACCAGAAAATCCCTGTCGTCTACAAATGGCGTCCAACGAAAAGGTTAACTGTAAGCAGCATGACAACGCTGCGAGGAGAGCTAGCGGCCAAGTCACTGACCTGGCATTTGGAGATGTCTCTATTAGCCATCTAGCACATTGTGTCCAGCTCTCAGCGCCGCGTTCTGCTGTGAAGGACACCGGGCCAATTAGAGCCTGCAAGACTAAGGGGGGTGGCAGGTGGCGGCATTGGGTAGGTGGGATAATAAGGATGAGGAAGAGGAATAAAGTAGAAGTGCATCACATGCGGTGAGAAACCTTGCTTTCATATGATACTCAAATGAGGTAACAAGCCAAGAGATCAAGAGTGTGACCCTGAGCTTCTTTAAAAGTGTTCATGTGTGTTCAAGTGCATCTTTTTGTTGTGCACCAAGGCGTGATGCCGCCTTCCCATCTATGTGTTTTTATTTATTTTATTTTTTGTTCCCATTTTTCATCTGCGCCGCTTCAAACCCACTCCCTGACATCATTCCATGCGTTCTTAGCTTTGAAATGGAAATTAATCACGCAGGAGAATTCCCTAAAGAACCGCCTGTAATACATGAAATGATGCTTTTGGCACCATGTTTCACCACTGAGATTCGGGGGTTGATAAAAAATGGTGTGGCTGCAGAACAACACTTCATGGATCTCAGAGGCAAAGTCACAGCTGCAGTTTTAAAAAAAGTGTAAAATATCATTGTTTTCGAACTCAGATATGGAGTCCATGTGGAGTATTCAGTCCAGCATTGCTTCCACTACCTATTAGCGTTGTACGTCTCACCTCTCCCTGTAGTGTGTTATATAGGTTTGTGTGCATGTAAATGGTCTGCAAAGGCTTAATTGGACTCCTTTGCTTACTTCCAAACACTAGTGAGCAGTGATAGTTGTTTCCTGTGTCAGACTGGGTAAAAACTGGAACAAAAACGGTTGCTAATGCAACAAGCTAGCTAACTCCAAGCTATTGGGTGATCTGTCATTGTAAACAATTTTACATTTCAAGTCTGCTCTTAAGAGCTTGTGGTCTGATCTGATTCCGATGTACCTTAGGGGCGTAGTCAGGAGAGGTGCAGACAGCAGGGAAAAAACACTTTATGGAGCAACAGCCAGTAAAATAAAGCAAATCATGACAACTCGGCACAGTTCAAAAGTTCAGGTGTCACATGAAGGCTGCTCGGAGAGATGTTACTGGATGATATAGAGATGATGGTGTGAGAGCCGTTCAAAGAGGAATACAAGGTTTCAGGCTAATGTGAGATGTTTGTTTGAAATAATGAGGATGTAATATTAGGCCCCTCAGCCATGATGCTTTCATAAACTCCAAGATGTTTTTCAAACGTCCCTGAGGTGTGTACAGCATCCACTTCTCCATCCTGCTTTTTACCATAAACACACTATCCACAAAGTGTTTGCGTTCAACACATCGTCAATTGTTCGGACAGACACTCCTCAGCAAGAATGCATGATGGAGTCTTTTTGTTAACACAGATTGATTTGTACTTTTCTTTGCAAACAGCTACAGTGTTTCAGCTCGGTCTATGTTGAGTCACACATGGGTGCCGCCTCTTTAAAAAGCCATCAGCGTGGATCTATATCCTAACCTTGCACAGCCCTGTGTCTCTGCATGAGTGGCCACACAATGGAGAGGGATGAGTGTTAGAAAAAGCTCACAGGAATTATAATAAAAGACTCAATTAATTATCCTGCTCGCATACAAGACAGGACTCTTAATGCAGAAGTTTTAAAATAAATTCTTCATATTTTAGTTTTTATAAAAGCAGCTAGTCCATGTAAACATAATTACCTCTAATGGTTCCTCATTGTTCATGGTCAATAAAAGAAATTTCACTTGCGAGAGTGAGGTTTTCTATGTGAGATACCAATTATTAGCACTTTGGAAAGCTAATGTGAGTTATTTCCATGCAGTAGTGGTTGTATTGTAATGCGTTTTTTTATCTCCCCTGCACTTCACAATCTGCTTTGTTTAGTCTAACTATACATCAGCAGGAATTAGAGGAGTTTTTCTTTTCAGATGCCCCGCGGCAGGCTGCACCCATACCTCTTTGCACTATTCGCCCCCATGCATCATTAAACAGGGCTTTGCCATTTTTGTAACCTTAAAAAGGTGATTTGCCCATATATCATTCCTACTTTTGCACAGCAAGAGATATTCAGCTTCTCTAAATACAGTGTGTTTCTGTTTTTCATGCATGTTTGTTATAAATGCTTTAACCAGGCTTTATTATCAGGACTGGGTCTTTATTTTGCTGTTTTTGGATGATTTCTTTTACATATTTTTCGAACTGCGCCATCGTGTTTGAATGCGTCTAACCACACAATCGCTTTAAGAGGACATATTATGCTAATGTTAAGGTTCATATTAGTATTTTGGGCGTCTACTGTGGAATGTTTATACATTTACATGACCCCAGACTGTTAATTGGAAACGTGCTTAGTTTGTGTAAAAGCGATGTCTTGACTTTTTGACATCCCCTTCTCATGGCTTGTTAGCATTGTCAGCGTTTTTGCATTGAAGCTAGTTGTTTCCTTTTGCTTATTTAAATTAATGAAGACACTGATAATGAAGGCTGCTAAAATAAAAATGTTGTCAACACAACACCATGCCAAGTGTCCAGTGGAGACAAATAAGCATCGAAGTGTCCCAGTGTTGTTTTTAGGACTCTCTGTGAAGAAAGCAGTCTTTTTCATGTTGTTGTTGTTGTTGTTGTCGAAGTGTATATTACTGGCTCAATTCTATGCAACAAAAACATCTAAAGAGATTTTTCCTTTTACTAACCCTCGTGGCAAAATGTTTTGTGATAGCTCTGCGCTGTAGTGCATCATGACAGTCACACTATTGTCCCCGAACCAACATGTCACAACCGGTAAAGATCAAGAGCCTCAGCGAGACGACAAAGGACTCTTTTTCATGAGGAGAAATCTGTCATGACTTATTTTGCCGGCTCCTTGTCAGTCACGGTCTGTCACCTCCTACCTTATTGATAACGCAAATGTAACCCCTGCAAAGTAGAGGTTTCTTGGCGATAAATAGGGCCACAAGTAGGGGTGTTGTGATCTTTATTAAGCATACTTTGAGTGAGTCTCAATTGCCGAGTAGGCATACAAAGGGGGATAATGTTACGGTTAATGCAAATGCTAGTGTTCGACATGCAACCAGTCAATTTTCCTGTGCTCCTTCTCGCCCCTGCAGGACTATCCGGGAGCACCTAGGGGAGCAGGAAGTTTCCATCTCTCTGACCATCGAGTCTGTGGAGGAGAGCGACCTGGGCAACTACTCGTGCTACGTGGAGAACGGCAACGGGCGAAGACAGGCCAACATCCAGCTCTCTAAGACAGGTGAGGCAAGCAAACCAAACCAAACAATGTGAAATCAAAAAAAAATCCAAGCATTAATCTAGCAGATGCCTTGAGGTTTAATAATGGCATGTTAACAGCTTTGGTGGAATATACCATTCAATACCTCCAGCTTTCGCTTTGACAAAAGAGTGAATCTTTCTGCAGCACAATACAGAGTATAAAGAAGAATAACTAGCGGGACTAGGGGAATTGACCAGTTGTTTCTCGCCCGAGGGACGAAAGAAATGGGACAGTACTGTAGAAAGAGCAGAAAGCCGATTCATCTGCCTCGGCCTGAGGAAGCATTAGTTTGAAGAGAAATCGCTTTGGGAGAGACGCAGCCTTCAGTGTTATGATGCCAGTCAAGCTGTTTGGCTGTCTGGTAATGATCTCCCCTCTCTCTCTCTGTCTCTCTCACACACACACACACACACACACACACACACACACACACCCTCCTTTGATCGCGAAGCTCTCACTCAGACTCGTTCTCATCTTTCATCACTGACTACTGTTGCCTTCCCCCCTCCTCCTTGTCTTTTAATTCAAGCAAACATTTCTGAGTTTTTCCTCTGATTACGCTTCACTGAGGATGACTGTTTGAAAGTTGAGTCCGTGATGATTTGAAATACAGACGTGCACTCTCCAAAGTGGTTATATAAGTGAGTTTTTTTATTTTTTAGGAAGGCTGGGGGGGCCTCCCTCTGCAGCCTTAAAGTTGCCAGTGAGTGTTGAATACATTTACATAAGATATTTTTCCTCTCTTTTAAGCTTGCAGCTTTGGATCCTGCTTTGATGGCAACCGAGTTCCCCTCCATTTGCTATATTAAAGGGGTTTATGCTGCACAGTCAAATCTCAGAATAAACCAGAGAAGATTAGGCTGGTCCTCGCATGATTGCTGGTCTACGAGAAATCGACCGGTTCCCATTTTGCCACATTCACGGTGTATTTTTTGTGGGGAAAATGCATCAAAGTTTTCCCCGCTTGTCTCAACAAGCTGTGAAAACAGCACGACACTCCCAATGAATTTGGTCGGCTCAGTGCAGCATCAAGCAGAATATGTCCTCACTTGTATGTAAAGCGAGCATGGAGATTTCTACTTGTTGTTCAACTTCTACCAGTCAAAAAGTCCTCTTTGCCAACTTCTTTCCTTCATTTTCACATCCTCGGATACATTTCTTATCTCACATCAGCAGCAGCAACATGGATTAGTAGGCAGCTGCCTTTTCTATATGACACCTAGTACCTAGATTCAAGATTTGTGAACATGAGAAATAGCAGACACAGCTTCGCCGTTCTCACTGCTGCTTTTCTCTTTTTTGTTTTACAATTCGACCACCACTTTGCCTTTTCATCTCACTCCCTAGCGGCACAGACAGAGATGCAGTAATGGAGGCAGAAAAAAAAAAGGGTGATGAATCGCACGATGCCATGTGGCTCCATCAAATCCAGCCTTCTTGTCGTCAGGAGCTAATTTGTCTTAATCCGTCCCACTGCAGCTCCGCTACAATATGGAAGAAGAATTGGCCTCTTTCTCTGTAATCTCTGCTGCTGGAGGAGCAGCTGTCTCATTACACTGTCCAGATATCTGAGGAGAGGAGCAGTGCTCAGTGAGGCGGGGGGCAGAGTGGAGCATGAAGAGGGGGAGAAGTGGAAATGCTTGGATCCATCTTCTGGCAGTGCTTGTTAGCTGCAACCACCCCTCTCTGAAAACTTCAGGATGAGTGGATAGAAAGTGAGACAAGAGGAGGAAGTCAGGGTATCGACAGCGTGCGCTCATTCTGCACAGAGTTTGTTTGCGTACATAAGTTTGCCTGAAGGTCGTGGCCCAGACAGGCGTGACGAAGCGGCGCGGGCCTCGCTCGTTGGCTCTCCAGAACATCATCCTTCATCATGGGACCTGTCAGCCTGATGGCCGCCGCACTGAGATGGGCATTGCGCACTGCATCGAGGTTAAACGTGCGCCGGTGATGGATGGCGATGCACGCTAAGTCCTCTCCGGCCATGCTTGTGTGTGTGTGCGGCACTGCACCCGATCCCTGCCTTTTTACTGTCGTCCATTAGTCAGCCAACGAAGGCTGACCACCCGGATTTTGTGAGTGACATCCGACAGAAAACGAGAAGAATAAAAAAAGCCTTGAGAAAGAGACAGAATCATGAAAAGACAAAGCAAACAACTCGGTTTTCAAGGTGAGTCATTGGACCATGGAGCCTAATGGAGTCCATTGTCCTGTAGTGTAAACATCACCCTTCATCCTCCTGAAGAACACTACTAGTCTTGCTTCTGTGGGGGTATTTAGTTAGTGTGAAGCTGAAAAATCAACAGTGAAGTCCAGTACTTCCATGAGTTGAGCTTCCACTCATGCTTTTCATGAGTTTTGCGTCAGAGCAATGACCGATGGCGGGGCGAGCGGAGCGCTTCGATCTGTCGATGAAGGCGCTTTTCCTCTCAACAGCCGTGTAACCAATCTTCATAAGCGTGGCCGTCAGATCTGTCATATGCTATTGTTGTGTACCTGCTGCCTCAATTTGATTTTTTGCGATCAAGCCAGCAGGCATTAGGTGACAGGAATAGAAGGGGTTGTACTTTCATTACGGTTAGAGTTATGTGTCATGTGGATATAATCAAGGCATAATGAGAATTTAAACAAAATGGAAAGGTAGAGATGAAAAGCGAACAGAGAAGGAGAAGCTTTTTTCATCCAAACCTGGACCTAGAAACACATATTATTTTTCAGATAGCTAGGGACATTTTCTCATCCATGTTGACTGCATCATGCATTATTTAATGAGTATGCAGTATAAGAGTATTTATCTTGCTGAAGTTATGAGAGAAATACAAAATTACCGTTCAACTTTCTGACATTTCGCGGTTTCTAAGAAGGAAATAAATAAAGTCCCACAGCATCTAAAACGCATTAAAATGATGAATGTGACTATTAAAAGTATAATCTTTTGAACTATTCAAACAAACTGCACTGCTTTTAAGTGTAATCATTTAAAGCAAATGCTTTTTACTTGCTTTTCTGTCATTTCGCAAACATTCTCATACTGCCTGTGCTGCAGCACCTTTTTAACCCTCTGTCTGAAGCCCCTCTGCTCTGATTGGTTATTCTGCACTGGCCAATAGAAGTGCAGGTTTTCCATAGTGATGTTCCGGAATAAAACAAAACATTCCAATGGTAGCGTGAACTTTGTGATTTTAGCCTTTGCAGACCATTTACATCGTAAAAACCTATTTAACTATTCCTGGCTGCTGGTTTTCTTGGTTTTAATTAAACGAGTTATTAAAATGTCTCCCTCTCACTGTGTTTAGCGGAGCTGATGTACACGGTGGAGCTGGCCGGCGGGCTGGGAGCCATCCTGATGCTGCTCATCTGTCTGGTGACGCTGTACAAGTGCTACCGGATCGAGCTCATGCTCTTCTACAGGAGCCACTTTGGCAGCGAGGATATAGATGGAGGTAAGATGTGCAAGACATAATTTACTTTACGCCGTTATATAATAAATCCTCCCATAATCTGTCAGTGTTTCCTGTTTTGGTGGGGGATTTCTAAAGCGCCTTCCTCTGCTGTGAAAGCGTCCTTTCTTTCCTCTGTAGAATCAAATCCCTAACCTGAGCGCTATCAGTGCTGCTCTGCACATATTTATTTTTACTCAAAGATCCACCTGGGCTATTTTCCATATCTTGAAACTGCATGTGGCACTATTCTTATGTAAATATGCACCTGTTTTATCAGTCTAAATGCCACCTAAAAAGATCCTCCCATCGTTACATACACAGAAATGTTGTCGTCAATTTCAAGGTGTCTTTTCAGCCCACTGAGCAAAATCAAAAACTTTATGCAAAAACATTCTGTAAACTGTCTCCTAAACAGCAGCAAAACGACTCCCCGGTCTTTGATGTGTTTCCATGTCTTCATCCTTGTGAAAAACGAATCACTGTGCACACTGTGCAGCTGTGCTGTTTCATCACAATGCATGACTTCTGGGTAATGGAGTTCAGGTTTTCAAACAGTTCCCTCTCGCTGCTTTGCTGAGCCTCCAACAGGCAGAGCTGCCGAGTTTAGCTATAAAAGGAAAAAGCAGCCTTGATCACTAAAACACTGTGAATGCTGCAGCTGCAGGTGATTTCGGGGTACATACAAACATTTTTTATACTTCTTAACCAGCCTAAAAACACAGGCAGACTAAATAATGTGAGACATTCCAGTTTGCAATATTTGCTGTACAGGATATTTCACTTGTGTTTATTGCTTTATATATATACGTGTGTGTTTCTTAAGGGCTGTCAAATGTAACCCTAACACGTTGGACAACTCCACAAGCAACCCACTTTCAATAGGCCAGTGGTGTAAAAACCACTTAAGGCACATAATCTTGAGCTGCTGTTATGGAAATGTAAGAAGAAAACATGAAGTTAAGAGGGGTTAGTTTGTGGTGCTGCAAATCCACGTGTCTGCATGCAAACTGCACATGAGTAAAGGGATCATATATTCTGCTGAAGGAAATCCAAACGTAGTCCCTGTGCCAGAGTAAAAACATTAACTCTGAGGCCCCATCAGCAACCGTAAAAAAAAAAAAAAAAAACTCTGATTGGTCCTGGTGGATGAGTCTTGGCTTGAGAATGCATCAAACTGAGACAAGGAGCAAGTTTTAATTTGATTCCCCCGTAATGAGTCTCTCAAGTACCAGCGCTGCAATGAATTCAGGGGGAATGAGATTAGTTTGGAGAGGCTGGAGTGGAAAGAGAGACAGCAAGAGAGTTATGAGTGTTTAAAGGTAAAAAGTATTGTGCTCCTCTACGTATACACTCCCAGCTCTCTCTCCTAACCGCCATGGCTGCTACATCAGACATTTCAATGAAAGTCATTACCTCGGGCTGTGCCGGCCGCGGGAAAGACGAGCTCTGCCGTAATGGATGGCCCAAGGCAGCTTTGTTGAAAAGAGGAAGAAAAAATGTAGGGCCTTGAACCTAATGCCAAACAGCAATTGTCTCCTTTAATTGCGCCACCCCGAGTGAGTGCTTGGAGAGAGAAACTGATTTTCAATTTGTTCTCCAGTATAAGGGGATCAGGTTCAATAAGACACAGCACGCTGCCTCCGGAGGTCTCAGGAGAGCCCGGATACTTTCCTCCACGCCGCGGTCGATTAGATCACTGCTACCGCCGCACGTCCACATTCACAAACTGCACCTGAACCTCTCATCTCTGAGTTTCAGCGCAAAGATAAAGCAGGCTTGGAGAGTAACAGGATTATGTAATCTGGATACAAAAAAAAGAACTGTATTCCCTTACAGATGCATACAAAATAACTGAATTACTGTTACATTTCTAAAGATACTAGCAAGATGTCCCAAAGAAACTCAAAGGAGCAGATTGTATTTCTCTTTGTAAACTGTACTTTTCTGTAGGCTAATACTTTATGCCTGAATTTGCTTTAGGGTTTTTAGTTTTTTTTCACTGAGAAAAAGCTGCATGTAAGATATTAAAAAACATAAATGTTTCATTATTAAAGCCCAGTGTCTGCAACACAGAGATTTTTCCCAAAATGCATCTTCACACACTGCCAAGAAAGTGCTTCATTGCGGCCACCCGAAGAACTAATTGCCTCCCTCTCCTGCCAGATGTAAAACTGTAAGCTTTACGTAACAAAAGGGGGGACTGTCAGCTATTTGTCAGCACAGCTATTTAGTTAAAGAGCGCTCAGTTGTCACATTGTGTGGGTGTCAGTGGAATCAATAATAGGCTTCACGATCACAAAAGCAGAGCGAGCTTGTCACGGAGGTGGGAACTCATCAGCACCCTGCCATAAATACGAATGTCAGTGTTGTCAGCACGGCGTGGAGTTATGAGCCTCCGTCTGTGTTCGGTGTAGTTTGGAGTTACCAAGCATTAATAGTTTACACATCCCGCACACAGCGACTGTAATGAATCCTGGTTCATTTGCATATTAACGACGCAAAGGTAAACATCACAGAGTAGCATTGAATACAAATATGAACCTGAGAAAAGAGCAGAATAGGTGCTCTTTAATTCATTTCAAAATGAATACAGGAAATGATTCTGAAAACCAGGAATCTCTTTTTTTCTGAATAAAGAATTAATTGATAACGGAAATTATCATTAGCCGCAGCCCTACGACCTCAGGTAGCTGTTTATTCGTCATGGAAAACAAAACAGCATATTTAGAAATACTCAGCGTCTCATTAGCAGTCCTCCTCACGTGCCTTTGTAGCTCCAGTGTTACATTCAAATCTCCTCTCCATTAGATGTAATGGAGCCCAGAAATATCCCGGAGATCACGCCTCCGACTCTCTTGGCACTCTCCACCGCGGGTTCAAGAGTTCACCATCTAACTGTGGGCTCTCTGTGCACATGCATATATATTCCCCCCGCCCCTCCGAGTGCAGCGAGCGTCCGTCCCTCTGCGGTCGATATGTGAGACGGAGGAGTGTTTCAGAGGTGTGCTGCGCCTTCAGATACACCTCAGCAGTCTCCTGTGAGAGAGTGACTCCTCAAGGTGCTCCTGCAGGGGTCATCCCGCCTTCCAGACTCACCTCGAGTGAATCAGCTCACTGAAATAGCCCCTGATCTGCCTACACAGCTACCACAGAGTAACAGAGATTTACTGTATGTCACAAAGAGGCAGCATATAAACCCAACAGTTAGTTATACTAAGTGATTATGAGGTTACAGTTCAATTACTCTTACATGTCCCTAATGTTGTAAAAAAGGAATTGCATGTTATAAAAAGGAGTTTGATTAATTACAAAGCGTTGTGTAAGAGGGAAAAATATCTAGATTACCCAGCGGGAGGTGAGCAGATCTTGACAGTCTCATGGCCCGAGGAGTGTAAAATAGAGAAGATATTAAGTAAGAGATAATGTGCATTAATTAAAAAAGAATAACGACATTGTGATCAGGATCCCGATGCTTATTACATAGCATAGCAGCGGCTGAAACTACTGAGTTACAGCAACGTAACTTAAAATGACCGCAGCACTGATCGAGGTTCTCTGTAACTGTCCATGTCTGTTCACCTTTTCTTTTCCACTAACCAATGTTTAGAAACTGCCAGAGCCCATACCGTGTTCACTTCCTGTCTGTCTTCTGGAACATCCAAATTGACCAATCAGAATCGAGCATTTAACCAAGCCGTGTAACAGAACTGCATAAGATAGATGCCACATTCCTCGTCTTGAACCCACCTCCCATCCTCCACTTCCCATCCTCCACCTCCATCCTCTCTGCCCTTCTTCTTGACGGGTTAAACATCTCCTCCCATCTCTTGCGCTGCAGGTGGACACTATAAAGCAAAGGCACTACAGTCATAATGAAGACAGGAACTCACAGATCCAACGACTGCTCGTGTCTCTAATGAGTTTACCTCAAAGGGCTGTGTTCCCATCGCGCCTCAAAGTGTTCCAAATTCTGAATTCCCTCTCCTTTCGTGGCACAGATATGGGTTCTTTAGTGAATAAAGAAACACAGAGAATCTTATATTTGTGTATGCATACATTGTATCTGACTTGTGGCAGTCAAAACTGGGAGATCAGAATCAGAAAGGGGACAGTGCATCAAAAATAACAAGAAGTAAGGGAACACAATTACCTTTATTGGCACTAGCACTAAATGGGCTGGCTCCGTCCTATATAGCTGAACTCCTCCAGCGCTACACCCCAGCCAGAGCTTTAAGGTCTGCTGACCAGCTGCTGCTGGTAGTGCCCAAGACCAGGCTCAAAACCCGAGGGCACCGAGCCTTCGCAGCAGCTGGCCCTAGGCTCTGGAACACTCTGCCCCTCCATGTGAGGTCGGCCCAGACCCTAGGGGTTTTTAAATCTACTCTTAAGACACACTTCTTCTCCCTGGCCTTCTAGTCAGAGCGGAGCACGACGTGTTTTTTATATATCTGTTGTAATTTATTGTCTTTTATTGTGATTGTAGTAATGTGTTTTTATTACATGTACAGCACTTTGGCTCGACCAAAAATCGATTTTAAATGTGCTATATAAATAAAACTTGATTTGATTTATTTGTATCCTGATTATCCAGTTTCATGTAAACCATTTGTTTATTTATGTTCTTTGTGCACAGAATCAGAAAAGGACTTCTCTATATTTTGCTACGAAGTTGTATCTGTCTACAGGTTACTGTAGGACTAAGAGACTGAGACTCTGTAATTGACAAAGTGTTGTTCAGTTTGCTTTGAGCACAAAATTGGAGTTGAGTTGTTACTTGCATGAGCCGGGGGCTGTTATCTCCTTCCTGTAGTAGTCAGAGGCTCCTGGGTATCCGCACCCTCCTGACTCATTGTACTGAAGTGCTGCAGCTTAAATTCCTCCCTCACTTCTCACTTTCCGCTCGGCCCTCTCAAAGCCGTCATCAATCAGAGCTTTCATGTGGGTGATGGAGCCACGCCACGCGCAGGCCTTGCAGCCACTGTTGGGCATTTGGCTCAGCCTGGAGCCTAATTTGTTTTGCCTGCAGTGGGCAAAGTAGCCATCAAGGTAACATTATTCGTCAGTGTGGACGGAGCTGTAATGAAAAGCACTCAGATGGGCAGAAGTGCCCAGAGGTCAGTGTAATGGAGGCGTCCTGTCTCAATGAAGTCTCCCACTGAATGAATAGGAAAGAGATTACGAGCATCTGGAGGGAACAGCAGCGGAAAAATGTGCTGACCAAAGCAGGAAGCATAACACATTTAATTGGAGCAAAGTGGTTTAAGGAGCTTCTTAATGCTCATACATGAAGTACATGTTGTTTAATTCTGCTTTATTTCCATTCCTTGCGCCTGGGTTATAACGTGAATTAAAGAAAGACCTGCTGGTATGACATTTCTCTCGTCTGTCTCCCCTCTCTACCTGCAGATAACAAGGACTACGACGCTTACCTGTCCTACACCAAAGTGGACCCGGACCAGTGGAGCCAGGAGACCCGAGAGGAAGAGCGCTTTGCCCTGGAGATCCTCCCCGACGTGCTGGAGAAGCATTATGGGTATAAACTCTTCATTCCAGACAGGGACTTGATCCCCACAGGAAGTAAGCTCTCTCTCTCGCGGCGATGTCACGTTGTGTTTCGAATGTTTTGTCGCTTGCTCGTGTTGTCCGTGCCGTGGTGACATGCCTTGTTTTCTGTGATGCATTTGTGTTGTGGCGTAACTAGACCCTTTAAGAACCATCGTCATTGTTTTCAATCATTATGAAATGGGCTTTTTTCTAACCAATGGCAGAGTGGATCAGTGGCATTTCAATTTAGCAGGAAAGCAAGCATTATTATTTCATAAAAGTAGCTTGTTAGCAATAAGATATACGCTAAATAAACATCATATTACAGCTTTTAAGGGGATACAGTCGCAATTAGGACAGAACAGACATCAAATAAGCATGAGAACAACATCCTAAGACACTATTTTTAAGTGTTTTAGTCCTAAAATCAGTGATTTCCAACCAAAAGTACCTGTATATTACTGTTTACTTCAAAGATAGGAGGCACACAGACACCATATCTTTTTAGCGGTGCACACACACTGCTATCTTGTTTAATCCTGCATGGACTTGATAGTATTTCAACTTCTTTCACTGGAATTAAGCTGGATGAAAATGCTTCACAAATTGGGTTTTTAAGGGTTAGGGTTATAAAATGTCATTTAGCGTTGCCTAAGTTTATGTTATTGCACTTTTTTTATTAGTTTAAAGAATGTAATGGTCGGGAATGTAACTGTTTTTATCAAGGTTCTAACTTCCTAATTTCCATTAGGTTATTTAATTCAACAAGACTATTTATCCACGTTTGCAGTGCACTAAAACCAGCAGTAGGGCAGAACTGAGTGATATCGTTATGTCAATATTCAACATTGCCTCATATTTTGTTATCCTGCAGTACAAATTCTTCAAGTACCTGCTATATAAAATATAATGAAATAAAACGAGCCTCTGTGTTTTACTGTGGTGGTACTTTTGCAATTACCTGAATATCAAATGTAATTTGCAAAAGAAATAGAAGAGAAAAGAAATATCAAAAGGATGTTTTTTACATGAAAGGAAAACCTGTCTTTCAATAAGCATATTCAGGCAGTAGCTTATACACAATGAAACACATGGGGGAGGGAATACACTTAACTTGTATGTATCCTTATTACGGTATCCTGTTACATAGTAATCCAATAGATGCAAATGAACAAATGGGGAACATGGCGGGTGGTTTTGATGTAGTGAAACAACAATATATATATATATATATATATATATATATATATATTATATTCATCCGGGGAGGTACGTCTAACAAACAAAAGTGTTAGGAACCACTGCTCCAAACAGAGTTTCCACTTGTGGCCGTTTTAGGAGCCTTTAGGTTATCTTAATCGTATTCCTGGGTGTTGGAAGTATCCCCGTGTTCTCTGCAGCGCCTCTGAAGAACCATCGCAGTTTAGATCGGTGTGTTTTATAGTTCCTCCTCTACACATGCTGTGCAGGGAGGCCGTGTATTAATAAACTGAGAAGCAACCCTTCAAAATAAAAGCATGGTAACACCGTCTTTTGAAAGTAGAGAGGGACTTTTGAGGAATATAATAGCAATTCATCTTAAGATATGTTGCTCAAAGCAGTTCGTAGAAATTAAACATTGTGATGATTAAATGAAGATATGTTGATTGTACATATCAATAGAGGATTCTACGGTGGCCGACAGGTGCAAATGAGTTACAACAAGTATTTACAGTGCATTACCTACACAATGTAAAAGCCTATGGGAGGCGTTAAAAGCTGAATTAAATGTATATCAACATTATTATAACATGCAGCTCCACATAAAGCGTCCCTCTGCATGCTGCTGTGTGCTGGTGTCAGCTGCACCATCATAAAGCTCTGCATGGATATGAATGCATGTTTTGCCACAGCATATTTCTAATGGAGCGCCTCACCATGCCCCGTGCTTATCGTTGATTAACTCATCACGCAATTTGATGAGTTTGATAATATCATTATGTTATTAGCCTCCATTTGAACACATGCATCTGCCTGTCTTCCCCGCACATACCGCCATTACTAATTATGCTCTTCTCCAGTATTGGCACCGTGCCAACGTGGTAATCTGAATCCCTTGCTGTGATTGTGTGCTCCATTTCGAGGGGGACTGTTGTAATATGGGAAAAATGGCATAAAAATGCAAGGTTTTAAAAGAGCCTCTGCCTTTTTTTTTCAGCTCGCTGGCTTAATGTGTCCATGTATAAACATTTAGATCCCATTGGGAGTGTATTAGCATCTCAACAGTTGATATAATAAAGCATAATCCACGGCTAAAGCCACAGTTTGGCCATTTGGGGTTTCAACACGTGAGCTGTTGATAAGCAGCGTGTTATTCCCCAGTATGCTGGATTATTTATACACATCTCAATGTTTTTTAGTATATGGCAGCAATATAATACCTGGTATTACTCCTGCCACTCCAGTGTTTCCTATGCTTTTTTATGCTCCATATCCCATATTAAACTGGAATAAACTGGTCAGTGCGATTATTGTTGTGCAAAAAACACCAGTGCAGAAACACAGTTTATGCCAGAGCCGTGTCCCCACATTAAAAAAACTGTTATTTTATTTTTAAATGCTTTTTTCTCCACAACTTCTGATCATACTTTGAATCCAAATATCTATGTTTAGGTTTCACCAATGATCATTTCCAGGATGACACAAGACTACTTAGAGGTACTTATTATCCAGATGTTTAACGCTCGTGTCCACACACACCGATGCAGTATCTCTCACAAAATCACCCAAAGAAATCATCATTTCTAAGTGTTTAAACATTGTTACTAGTGGTTTTATAATTGGTTCATGTTGTAATGAGGTGGTCGCTAATAGCCGTTATTACTGCAATAATACATACAGTTTTTTAAGCATTTACGACGCCATTAGTTACAACCTAAAAATCCTGCATAAAGGGTACATTTTTAAATGTTCTTTACTCGCATTACGTTATTTACAGATTAGGCACATTGCTATATTGCATTTTTATTTTTGATGTGATGCGTGGGGTCAGTCCCAGAAAGAATATAATCAACTGTGACATGTCTCCATGCTTTAATGTTCAAAAAGCTCTTCTATTGTTCTCATACTGCCTGTACTGCAGCACCTCTTTTCACCCTCTGTCTGAAACCAGAGCCCAGTCTGCTCTGATTGGTTATTTGGACAGCTTTGTTGGGATTGGTCAACCGCTCAAAGATGTCCCGCCCCTTAGCCTATCATTTAAAATATGTTGGAGCGCTAGCCAATAGAATTGCGAGTGTTACTCTGTCTATATGTTCCAGAAGAAAGCAGTGGACTGTTACTCTTTGGTAACTGAGGAGCAATACAACTGGAGATAAAAGATACAATAATAAGCTTTGGGGATGTATTTTGACGAAATGCAGCAAAAGGCCCAATTACCCAAATAATATACTTATCTTTGTGAAGAAAGAGCGACTTCAAATCTACGTTAATCAGTTGTAGCCTTAATGACATTCATTAAGTGACATGGAGAGGTGGCTTAAAGACAAGCAAGATATTTCTCACACACACAAGTATGTATATATATATATATATATCTCTGTGCTAAAAGAAGTACACATTATTTGTTATCTTCTCACACAAGAGGGTCCTTGATTAGAAAAAGTGAAGCTCAGTTAATCCTGTCTACCTGCTGCTGAAGATGACTCTTTCCAAATAAGGCTGCACACACACACACTTCTCTTCTCCTCCCGACGCCCAAGACAGCCCGGGGAAACACTTTATCACGGATATTATTACGCAGGCAGCTACTCAGAGGGATTTGAACACCATACTGTAAATGTGTTAATGTTTAGTGAAGGTTCACACACTGTAGGCTGGCTTTCAGTGTTCTTTGTTTACTGTCATCTTATAGTAATCAACCCTCGTCCTCTTTTTGTCTATAATTCTCTATGTTTAAATGCTAAGTTGTTTATTTTAGTAAGAGTATATATTAAAAGAGTCTATTTTATCTTCATTTAATGTGACAGTGACTCAGTGTTGCTGCAGATTTTCCTCAGATGTTTAATATAAATAACTTTAAGTTTCAATCAGTCTTGTAAAATACATTAAATGTTAATTGCATTTGGTTCTTTGAAACTTTGATAAAAGAGTCGTTTCTCCAAATGTAAAATATTTCATCATATTTCCATCAAGCATAAGCTCTCATGTCCAATTAAAGCTATGTAAACAAATAGAGTGAACATTATATATGCTTCTCATTTGTGCTGCTTGTAAGTGTTTCTCTGTGTTTCTGTGTGTGTGTTCAGCCTACATCGAGGATGTGGCGCGCTGTGTGGACCAGAGCAAGCGCCTCATCATCGTCATGACGCCCAGCTACGTGGTGCGGAGGGGGTGGAGTATCTTTGAGCTGGAGACGCGGCTGCGCAACATGCTGGTGACCGGCGAGATCAAGGTCATCCTGATCGAGTGCGCCGAGCTGCGCGGCATCATGAACTACCAGGAGGTGGAGGCCCTCAAACACACCATCAAGATGCTGACGGTCATCAAGTGGCGCGGGCCGTCCAGCAACCAGCTCAACTCCAAGTTCTGGAAGCAGCTGCTCTACGAGATGCCCTTCAAGCAGATGGAGCCCCTGAGCATCTCCCACGAGCAGGTGCTGGACGTCAGCGAGCAGGGCCCCTTCGGCGAGCTGCAGACCGTCTCTGCCATCTCCATGGCGGCGGCCACCTCCACCGCCATGGCGACGGCACACCCGGACTTGCGCTCCAACTTCCACAACTCCTGCCACACCCAGATGAGGCAGAAACACTATTACCGTAGCTACGACTACGACATGGCGCCCGGCGGCACGCTCCCACCCATGTCCACGCTGGGCAGCCAGCACACCTACTGCAACATCCCCATGACGCTCATCAACGGGCAGCGGCCGCAGGCCAAGTCGCCGCGGCAACAGAGCATGGAGGAGGCCCACGCGAACAACGCCATGCTGCCCCTGCTGCCCCGAGAGACCAGCATCTCCAGCGTCATCTGGTGACAGAGATCTGCACAGAGGACCCTCTGGCACTTGGACCCTGAACGCACCGGAGGCAGAGGCGCCTGATTGGCCACTTGCTGCTGTTGAATTTGCACCAGGAAACATCAGGGGGAGGGTGGATACTTTGGGGATGAGGTGGTGGCAGATTTTCATCTTTTTTTTTGGTCCAGTTTTTATTGAAACTGAACAACAACACAAAAACAAAAACAAGGGAGACTTGTTTGTATCCCTCATGTATGCCACCATCATTTACCCGGAGAGTCAAGGAATACAGGGTCCTGTACATACGTTTTCTAATTCTTTGTAGCATCAGTGTTTTGGACTTCTTCTTATGTTTGATCATCAGTTGGGACTATATCTTCTTTTTCAGTTTGTACAAAAGTGAAGCAATGGCCTGTGAGATGTTTTGGATAAACCGTTGTTAGCTTTATTTTTATTTGTTGGCCGGTGTAGTTTGTAAAGCTTTGGGAGTTTTTTCGGGAGCTGGGATTTGGTTTGGATTTCCTGGGAGGCTGCCGTAAAGGGTTGAGAATCTGGACTCAACCAGAATATGCAAAACACGGAGTCCAGACACCAGGGACACGCTGGGTTCACACATCGATCATATTCGAACGCTTTCGAGACATCCGCGGAGGAGGATATGAAGAATATGGTGCTAGGCTACAAATCTCTCTGTTTCTCTCACGATTACTTTAAAAGACAAAAAAAAACAGCCTTGCTATTTACCTTAACAGATGATTATATCACCGAAAAATTAATGATGTGTATTATTTTATGAAAAAAGAAAAGTCTATTTTTGTAACCCGAGGGATATTTGCTTAGTTCAAGTTTCTGATGGAGATAGAGATCGGAGAGAGATAATAAAAAAATGTTTTGTTATGTGGAACTGCACAGCTCACCATAGGTCATTCACTAAATGTCTTATATTGCTAGAGAAAGAAAAATGTTGTTTTTGTCATTTCAAACAGATTGCAGTTCAGCAGGATTTCTTTATGTTTGTGATGGAGCTGTGGGCGATGTCAGTGCAGAGGGAGGAGAGGCTGGCCATGGCACCTGGTTTCCTCTGAAGGACCAAACAAGGCTGTCCGGGGCTAAACAGGGATATTCACTTCCTCCTAAATGACAGCTGTTATTTGTTCGCCATTCAGCTGGGTTGACAAATAAACCAGGGCTTTCACATGGCTTGTAACACTCGCTAACTGGATGACAAAGTAATATTTAGTTAAAGGGAATGGGTTCAAGTCGGCCATCAGTGACTGCAACTCAACGAAAAGCGTAACATTTTCACTTTTAAACCTTTTAAACATGGGTTTATAAAGAGGACTGGAGAGTCGGAGGCGGGGGGGATGGGTAGTGACAGCTGCTGCTTAAGCTACACACGCTATCCTCCAAAGATGGCCGCCCCAGAATGCACCGTGGTTCCCATTGCATTTTAACATTTAAAGGTAACATTTTAGAGGATGTAATTCATTATATTTCTGACCTACTGACCAATAATCATGGGGTGTATTCTCCTCAACAATAACCTTTTAGTATAAACCCCTTCCAAATAAACAGAGACAAGAATGTATTTAAAGATTTTTGATTCAATCCTGGAGTATATGTTACTAAAAAAAAGAGCTATGTCAGACCGTGTCCCTCCTGCAGCTGTGCCATCTTTTCTGTTCCCTTCTAACCTCATACTAAAACACCTGCAGCATCTCATCACATGAAGATCATTTAGTGCCATCAAATATGCAAAGAGATGAAACAATAAATGAAGAAACGTGTTATTCCCCCTTTATCTTCTAGCAATCTTCAGTTTTTGATTTTACTCCAAGGACGTGTCTCAATCTTTCCCCCCTTATGAAAAGTACGGTATTGCTTCAAGGTAGGGCCCCGCTTCCTAACACAGACGCTCAATGAAATGGCATTTTGTAAATATAATCAAGAAAATAACGGGGTTTAGATGACGACAATCGAGCCATATTTCAGAGTAGAAACCTGACTGCAGGTTCAATGGATGAGATTTGGACAGGAGTTTGACATCAGCGACAAGCTTTTTCTCCACATTTTTGTTTCACGGTGAAATTAACATGTCTGGGCTCTGATGATAAAGATGATGATGATGATGATGATGAAATAATGACGATATATAGCACAGAATTATTCCAGGCACTTTCACGACTCTTGAGACGACCTATTTCTGATTTATTTTCTATTATGTATCTGCAATGTTCATTAAAAAGAGATACTGTTATTATTAATAAAACCACATTTACGATAATGTGATTTCTCCGTTGCTGTGTGTGTGTGGTGTGTGTGTGTGTGTGTGTGTGTGTGGTGTGTGTGTGTGTGTGTGTGTGTGTGTGTGGTGTGTGTGTGTGTGTGTGTGTGTGTGGTGTGTGTGTGTGTGTGTGTGTGTGTGGGTGTGTGTGTGTGTGTGTGTGTGTGTGTGTGTGTGTGTGTGTGTGTGTGTGTGGTGTGTGTGTGTGTGTGTGGCAGGGCTGTATTTGTTTGCAGGAAACGCCACCACTTTGTTTATGGAGCAGCAGCACATATTGCTGACGGTGGCCCGGACCCCTGCCATAACTCTGCTCCTGTAAAACCTTGAAACAACAATCAATAAGTGTGTTTGTTACAATTTAGATATTTTTTCAATATTATCACAGTTTTGTATCTTTCCTCTTTTTTTGCTTTTTGTTTTGTTTAAAGTAATATATGAATTTTTCATATATTTAAAAAAATCTTTCCAACAAAATCTGGAAAGTATTATTTGAAAACCTTTTCCACTATATTTTGACAGGATTCTTGGAATTGTTATTTTTTAATTGTTGCATTTGTTCTTAAAGTGGCAGAAGGTAGAAATGTAAGGACTGTAAATGTTTTTGCTGATCTCTCTTTGCTGCTGTTTTTCTTCTGCCGTGCTGTGAAGTACTACCCCCCATATGATTTGTCATCATCATGACATCTTCACCCGCCTTTTAGCTGCATTTATCCTTCTTAGTGTAAAATGAATAGGTTATGACCCTGCAACATGGCTTCCTCTGTGTCTCCCTCGTGTCCTTTTTATAGAACTCTGTACTTTAACCTTAATGCTTCGCTTTTACCTGTAATTACGGTATTGTGCTAACATGCATCGTCGTTATTCCATGCACAAGAATCCCTTTTAAGTAAATACTGTCCAATAAAAGATGAGGTAAAATAAAAATTCATATAAACACTTGTTTTAAGTTAAGTGCCAGCATATTGATTGTACAAGCTGTCCTGGTGGTGTTGCAGCTCATTCATGGTCCATTCTCTTTCCAGGTGACCATCTTCCTGCACTTCCTGTGGGTGGGGCCCCTCCAGGCCGCGGTGGTGGGGGGGCTGCTGTGGGCGGAGATCGGTCCGTCATGCTTGGCAGGCATTGTGGTGCTCATGATCAAGTGAGCCCCAAATATCATGATGATGTTTGGAAGACTCTTTTCTAAATTCAGGTAACACACACCCTCACATAATCCAGATATTCCATACAAGCTGGTAGCGTTGCAAATGTACAGATTTACCTTGCACATTTTAACTGAGCAGAGGTCTCTACTCAAACAACACACAAGCAACACAAGTATCAAGCACACCTTTGAAAGTCATATGTTATAAGGCTATTGTTAAGCGTTAATACATTTGGTGCTGTGTACTGTACATGTGATGTATGGAAACTTCTGAAGCAATGGAGACGAGACACAGAGAGACACGAGGAGAGCAGGAACTGTGATGGTAAACACCGATGGTTTATTTGGAGCTTCGGCCGGAGAATTCATAAGACATGTGCTGTGCCACGAGTTGACACAGCGGTTTCCAAACCAATTCTGAAGATCTCTACCCCAGACCTATTTATTTAGCTAGTTCTGAGAGAAGAATCAACATTGTGCATAACAAGATAAAACCATCACACGTCTATCAGCTGACGCCAACAGGCAGGAACAGGGAGACAAAACACTGAGAGCACAGCAGCCCAAGGTTACAGGACTGTGCTCCAGTGAGGGCAGTCCAAACTGATAAACTGGGTCAAAGTTATGGGCCTAGGAAAATATTTCCTCAACAATACATATGGTCAAGTAATAAATAATATAAAATAACCTGGTTTCTCACTGCACTGAAGTCCCAATTATCAGACGTGACATACCGTCTTTAAGTGGAAGAACCTTGTAACCAGTAAGGTTCAAAATAGGATCCAATGTAGCTTTCACATAGAAGTTGTCCCCATTGTTTTTTAATAAACAATTTCTGCAGTGTTCATTAAACTTACATTTCCTTTTTCTTCTGTTCTCACTGACGACAGGATCCGCGGTGGGGTCTGGGATCAGGATCATCGAGGTGTACGTCTGGGAGAAATCCTTCGCTGGTAAAAACATGAAAGGCATTCTTGTTGAATTGAAGAGATTTGAGAAGTGAGCCAAGGACTACAAACCAAAACCTACAGCCTAAAAAAGGACAGCTTCTAGGGCCCGCTACATAACCATGATTTTAGTTTTGATTCACACTTAATGTTACAGTTGGTATATTAACTTTAACAAATGTGGTCCAGATTTACACAAGTACTGGTAGATTAAGGTCATGTAATTATCCACTAGTTACAGTTTGAATTAACATCTTAAGAACTGTGCTTTTATTGTGAAGGATCTACTGATGTTGGCTCTGCTTGTTGTCTATATGCAAGCTTCGCTGTCTGCATTGAGTCTCTGCTCTTTAAATATTTGGTTATTAATTGCATAAACTATTTTTTAACCACACCTCAAATGCTCCTTGCATTTAGATGGCATGTGTTCCTGCAAATATATGCAGCAGCACACTTCTTAAGTGTGACCGTTGTTTCACTTTGTTGCCTACTATGCATTTTTTCACGCACGCCTGTATTGATTTGCATTGATCACATGAAACTTTTTGCCATTATTATTATAATTAATATTATTATGTCAATATGATCCCTCAAGGATGTTTTACAAGCTTTGTATTTTATGCTGCTCAAAAACTGTGTTAAAATAGGCCACAAGACTGCTGCTTTCTTTTATTCTCTATGCCTCATTTCTATATTCATACGCTGTGTCAACAAGCCCTAAAAACCTGCATTTGGAAATAAAATGACCGTGCAATAAAGTTCAAGAGGTGATTGTTTGTATTACATTATTTTTCACTCTTCAGCGTACTAAGATAAGCCTACTAAGAACATTGTAATGCATACTTGCTTGTTGTAAGCTTTAGGGTTATGAGTTCAATTCTTATTAAGGTAATGTGACTTTTTTGGCTCAACACCTGAATGAATGACTTATTTCACGAGTTGCTCTTATTGCATACTAGCTGTATTTTTATGTAACACTGCCTGTCAGATGGATTAGCTCAGTGTGATAAAGAAGCTCTCAGAAAGTATGAGGTTGTGAGTGCAACTCCAACAGTGTGCAATATGTTTATCAATTTAGCATTAGATCCAACACCAAGTGAGAAGAAATCAAAAGCTCTAACACAAATATGGAAAGCACATCTGATCATACAGCTCAGAGTGATAGATGTTAGGTTAGAAGATCTGAGGTTGTGTGTTTGATTCTTATTAGGTGCAGTAACTTTATAAGTCCAATTTCCCACAGAAGAAGTACAAATGTGAAGTGTGTTCAGTCAGATAGCTCAGAGTAGAAGATGTGTGGTCTGTAGAGCTGAGGTTGCGTGTTTGGTTCCTACTTGGGTCGACCACAAAGAAAATTACTTTGAAAGGCTATTATATTACGCTATTATATTTTATTTGTATTTTACTTCTTCCTATACGCCTGTTATTTATTTATGTGTCCGTATGCTAATGAGGTGGGCGGTCCTAACCTCAGTCTGAAGCAGGATTGGTTACAGGAGTGTGTGATCATTTCTGGCAGAGGGCTATAACTAAGGTTCAGGATTCAACCCTCTTTATTTCCACTGGTTTTTCAGGTAAAACATCCAAAATGGTGTGAAAAAAGCCTTGAGAAGAGTTTTTCATTTAAAAATGTTGGTTTTGTGTGACATACTTACAACGACAGTTTTTTTCAAATGGACTGCACTAGGTGTGTGGCGCAGTGGTTAGTGCCTTGGTGTTGGGATCAGGGGCTCACAGGTTCAAACCCCACTGCAGTCAGCATGTCGTTGTGTCCCTGGGCAAGACACTTCACCCCAAATTGCTCCTGTGGGGATTGTCCACAGTATTGAGTACGTAAGTCGCTTTGGATAAAAGCGTCTAACTAGTAACATGACATGTAATACTATGACTTATTTGATTTCCTTTTTTACATTTTTATTTGTGACATAATCTACCAAACAACAGGTCACTGTCTCAATCTAATAGCTCAGGGTGATACAACGCTGCTCAGGTGAGCTGAAGTTTTGGGTTCGATCCCCATGAGGTGCATAGATTTTTGGAAGTTTAACACCCAAAGTGCAGAATGACATTACCAAGCAAAAGTGTATTGGCCCAGGTCAAATGGCTCACTGGGAAGAAACACTGCCTTGAAGACTGGAGGTTGTGGGTTCAATCTTCTTTATTTGCACTGGTTTTCAGGTAAAACATCCAAAATGGTGTGAAAAAAGCCTAGAGAAGAGTTTTTCATTTTAAAATGTTGGTGGCACAATTGTATGACATACTTACAAGGATTTTTAAAGAGCTTTACTCAAAATGATGAGGATAAATGCGCCCAGAGGACAGGTCTTCATGTACATGAGTTGGTGGCTATTTGGGTTTGTTCTCGGCACTTAGGTGACTTAGTGCGCAATGAGGCGCCTCAGTGCTGGGAACAGATCCGCTGCAGCATGTGCGGGGTTCGAGTCTACTAGAGGCAAGGTAGCTAATAAAATATGTCCAAAATAGAGAATTAAAATAGGCCAAGAAAATAGGTGAAAAGTAGAATAATTAGAGTTCCAAGATAGGATAGGTGACCAAGTAGAAAAGCATAGAGAAATACGGGTAATTTAAACATTGAGCTCAATTAGGGGATAACATAAATTAGTATTTTCTTTTCTAGATACTTAACTCTGGCCGTCTGCACTATGACTATGTAATGAATTTACCAAATGAAAGATTTACCTCTCAGGTCAAAATAGGAAAATTAAATAGGTCACAATAGAGTTACTAAATAGGTCAAAAATAGAGAAATTAAATAGGCAAATAACTAGAAATACGTAAATACAGGGAGGGAATATGGGTAAAAATAAATAAATGTTGTCTTTTTCTCAATCCTCTATTTTGAAGAGTTATTTATTTCACTTTATAACAATAATCAACAATAACAATAAAGCTACAGGAAATTA